TTCAAATATTCAAGTGGTACGGCGATCAGTACAGGTACATGTAACGCCAAGTTTCTGTTTGCTTAATTACTTACATTAAGCAACTTACAGTATCATCTGTTTTTACAATGAAATAAAGGATATATATCGTTTTAACGCTCATATAATCAACAATACACAGCTGAATTGTATCCTTGAGAATTCCGCATTCAGGTTTCGATTTGAAAGGCCATGTTTCAAATACTATAATACAGACATATTTATTAAAAAAAATTATATATCATTGCTGTGAGATCAAGTACACTGTTTTACAGTTACGCTTCATTATTGCAGCAGGAACTAAATGGCAATGGTGCCTATCTGGGATGTCGGTCAATGCGGTCACGGTTGCTGTCGTCGTATGGTCTCTCAGTGCCAAGGTATCCAGTGAAATATTAAACCTAGAATAGTCAATAACTTGAAATTGGACAAGAAGTATAACATAGGTCATCGGTATATCAACTATCAGCTATCGTTTAATAAGGGTCACATAGCCAAGTCCCTTCTACTGATGTTCCCACATGAACTAGAAAGAACATAATAAGGCCAGTTTAACTGCCTCATCGGATTCATATTCATAGAGTTACAAAACACTCTCCAGAAGACTGCATGACACAAGATAGGACTTCAAATTTCCAATAGTCAATGAGCAATCTCTTCAAAAGTTGTTTGATCATGGTTACAACATCCAAGACCTCAGTAAAACTCCCAAAAGGTTTTATGGCAGACATGTAGGGGAAGTTTCTAATTTTACCGTACTAGTATCTGTGACAAAAGTTATGTCCAATGCAATGTCCAATTTTAACTTGTACCATATGATCCAGTGTTGTTTCTTGCAGGTGAACACCTGACTTTCCCTTGCATGTGTTTGTTCAGGTGCTACCGGTTTGGCTGGATACGCTCACCCTTTTGCTAACACCTGGTATCATCACTATTTGATAGTTTTCCATAATCACTATCTTACAATGGACTCTGCTTTTATTAGAGATTTCCACTTATTTTAAAAATGTTTTGTTGCGATTATATACACATGAAGACAATAACATTTCGTGCCTTAGCTCAGTTTGTAAATATGAAACGTCAACGGCACAAAACAACCAGCTCTGACCATACACCGAAACAGACTTCACTTGGTGTAAAAGGCAAAATAGGGGTGAAATAGTATGAAAGAATCACCGGCGAATTTCAAAGAATTCACCAGGTGTTCGCTGAACGGGTAATCAGGTCACTCACACAATTTAGAAAGTCTCGAAATCAAAGTAATGTAGTAGAAGCAAAACAAGGTCTAAACATCTGAAAATCACATGGCGTTACACACGTGACTGAGAAACAAATGAAACAGAATTTATGAATAACCAAAGAAATTTAATGAACAACATACAACCTAAGAGGAATAATATGGCCGCCAACCGCATTGTTAACATATTGTTATGCTTTATCATGTACAGAGACAATTTGCATTTCCCATCTATTTCTCTACGATTGAAGGGATGGGTATTTTGGAAGTGCGCGGACCAGGGTTGTCTGTCTGTCTCATCCCACACCAGAGCAGTTATGGCTTAGCATTTCACCACTGCTACAATCTGCATAACGAACGGCCGGCCCTTTCTTTTCTTTATAAACAAAAACACTTATGTCCGCGGCCAGGGTATGAACGCATCCACTTACCTTCCACTATACCCACTAAACCACGGAGGCGGTTAATATGTTTTGGTCGGTGATACACGAGGTGCAAACAGCTCTTT